ATTTATATTTATGACTAAATTTTTTATCATATATTTTTAGGTTTAATTTTTACCCATTTTTAATTTGTAATTCTTTTTTAACTTGTACCAATTTCCTTTTCAGTTTTAATTTGTACCCATATATTAATTTCTTTTTGTGCCCATATTTTTTAAAGTTTATTTGTATTTGTACCCATTTATTTTTTTGTATTTGTACTTTTTATTTTGCTAAATGTACCCATGCTAATTATATGTACGTATTCATGTAAAATTGTTTAATTTTAAAATGTACTCATTCTTAAATATATTAATTTGTTATATGTAAAAAGTACCATTTTTTTTATATATAAAATCTATTCAATTTTTTTCGGGTACATTCTTTTTTCTTTGATTTTAAAATGTATTTATGTCAAGTTTAATCGAAGAAATTTACTAATGTTATTAAGCCTAACATCTTTCTTTTTTATGTGATTTTGAAGAATGTACCCATGTTTTGATACAATAAATTTTTTGGTTAATTTTGATGAATGTACCCATGTTTATATATATATACACACACAATAGTGTATTTATATTTTAATATTTTTAATCCCACAAATTATGGTTTTTTATTTAAAATCTCATTTATATAAACAACTAAAATTTTTAATTTTTAATTTAAAAAATATGGTAACGTACATAGAAATAAATTATCATATTAATTTCAGAAACCTCGATAAAAAATTAAAAACCAACAAAATTTCAATCAAAAAATATTTATAATTAAGTACTGCATCCAAATCTTCCTATTCTAATATTCTCTCTCTCTCTTCACTGCTTGGTCCTTCTCTTTCTACAATAATATTCTAATATACTCTCTCTTCTCTCTCTCTCTCTCTCTCTCTCTCTCTCTCTCTCTCTCTCTCTCTCTCTACCAAACATTGTTGTTAATAACTTTGGGATCTTGACCACAACTCAGTCACCAAAATTTCACCTCCTTCTTCTCTTAACAGGATCATGTATCTTCTTTCTGTTAATCCCTTGTGCAACTCCGTTAACTTTCAGTTTCCCTGGCTTCCAGCAAAGTGATACCAACGCTAGACTAATCACCGAAGTAGATGCTGTCGTCTACTACCAGTTCATCCTCCTCACAGAATACCAACAAGATGAACATTCGCCATTGGAGAGCTTCGGTCGAGCCACCTACCACCAGCCCTTCCTCCTTCGGGAATCCACCACTGGAAAACTCGCTGATTTCACAACACATTTCAGATTCGTCATTGATTCCCAAAACAAAATCCCCTATGCGGACGGCCTCACGTTCTTCCTAGCGCCAAACGGGTCCATATTCAACCGCACACTAGTAATGGACGGCAGTCTTGGCCTCCCGGTGGAGAACCTGCCGGGATACATGCCAAGGAGTTCGCAGTACCCATTTGTCGCAGTGGACTATGATATCTTCACAAACAAGGAGGAAAGTATCGATGATCCCGAATGGGAGCATGTGGGTATAAACATTAACTTGCTCAAGTCCAAAAAAACCAGGCCTTGGAACGGTGGCATTTTGGAAGGACAACAAAATAGTGCTAAAATTAGTTACAATTCTACCTCAAAAAGTCTTAGCTTTATATATCTTCACTAGTTTGGTAAATAGCAGTCAAGTATTGATTTCTATTTATCACTAAGTCAGTCTGACTCAGTACTTGCCCGATTTGGTCATTGCCGGATTCTCCGCCTCCACGGCAACCTCAGGTGTTGCTTTTACTTTGCATAAGATCGTCTCATGGGATTTTACCTCCACTTATCTAGATGATTATGAAACTAAGACAAACCCAACTTCTAATTATAATTTACTACTGTTCGTTGCACTGGGTGCTGGTGGGGGTTTTGTGTTGGTTGGTGCGGCTGGTTTTGTTTGGTTCATCTTGTGGAAGTTTTCCTATAACAAGTTGGCTCATGCGACGAGTAACTTTGTGGAGAGAGAAAAGCTTGGAGAGGGAGGATTTGGTGGGGTTTATAAGGGCTTCATAAAAGACTTGAACTCATATGTGGCGGTTAAGAGGATATCGCAAGGGTCCAAACAAGGGCTGAAGGAATACGCATCAGAAGTAACTGTCATAAGTCAACTTAGGCATCGGAACCTAGTGCAACTCATTGGTTGGTGCCACGAAAAAGGAGAACTCCTACTTATTTACGAGTTCATGCCAAACGGCAGTTTAGATTTCCATCTTTTCAGGGCTAAAAGCTTGTTGGTTTGGGAGGTAAGATACAAAATTGTGCAAGGCTTAGCGTCTGGTTTGTTCTATCTACACCAAGGATGGGAACAATGTACTTCATAGGGATATCAAATCCAGCAAGGTTATGTTGGATGCTAATTTAACAGCGAAACTTGGAAACTTTGGACTAGATCGACTTGTGGACCACGGAAAGCAATTGAAAACAACTACTCTAGCTGGAACTATGGGCTACAAGGCAAGGCTAGCAATGAATTTGATGTTTACAGCTTTGGAGTTGTTGCTTTGGAGATAGCTTGCGGGAGACAACCCATCGATTTCTGTAAGTCTGACAGTATGGAAACCAGTATGGTGGAGTGGGTGTGGGGGCTTTACGGAGAAAGGAAAGTCCTTGAAGCGGCTGATCCGAAACTATGCCGAGATTTTGATGCGAAGCAAATGGAGTGTTTGATGATTGTTGGGTTGTGGTGTGCTCACCCAAATTCCAATATAGTAAATTGTAGCAATAGTCTCTTAACTTTAATCAAATTAGAGCAATGGTCCCTCAATTAAAAGTTTATTACCATTGGTCCCTCAACTTATCAAAATGTGTAGCTATAGTCATTTTCATCAATTTCATCAAAATTTTGTCAAAATAAGTTATGTTGGAATGACCATTTATACAATTAGGGTCCCTCAACTCATCAAAGTGTGTAATTATAGTCATTTTCGTCAACTACGTCAATTTTTTGTCAAAACGAGTTATGTTGGAATGACCATTGTTACAATTAGGTTAAAGTAAATGGATCATTTCTCCGGTTGAATTAAAGTTGAGGAACCAATGGTAATAGATTTTTAGTTGAGGGACCATAGTTGTACGTTTTGATGAGTTGATGGACCAATGATAATAGATTTTTAGTTGAGGGACCATTGCTTCCATTGAGTTAAGTTTAGGGACCATAACTACAATTTACTCATTACAATATAAGGCCATCGATACATCAAGCAATTCAAGTGCTTAACTTTGAAGTTCCATTGCCGATTCTCCCACCAATTATGCCAATGCCAATGGCCCCATATTTTGCGCCTTAGTTGATTGTTTCTCAAAGTTGTCCTGTGATAATACTGCAGCTTTGGTTTATCTATTTTGCTCCTTAACTTAATGTGTCTAAATATTGCAAATATTAAAGTTCTGGACCTTAATTGTGAGAAGGCATGAATGGTGCTTCATATTCGCTTCAAAACTGGCGTTACAATTTGTCTAAATTATGTAATTTCATGACTGCAATACATTGTACATTTACTACCACATGCCAAAGCCAAAACTACAATGCTAATTGGGGTTCCGTCTAAAAATTCAGATTATATCAGGGGTTATATTTTATCAAGGTTGGTCCTGAAATTGGACCTTTCAATCAAAATGGTCCTTAAAATAGAAATCGGTCAATTTGCACGCTATGTGAAAATTCTTTTGCATTTACAAAAAAAAGTTAATATTTATGTATAAAGAGGGGGAGAGATTTCTGTGGAAAAAAGTTAATATTTCTTTTTGCTGACGAGTGAACTAGTTGGCCCTGTTAAGTTAAACAATTCTTTTCGTTTATTTAGTATTTTTCATTTCTCATCCATCAATCTCACTTGGGTAAGAAATAACTCTAATTTACTGACTTATAACCTGGATTCTAGTAATTTTTTTTTGGGGGGGAAATTTTGTAATTTCACTTTTGTCTTGTTTTTGAAATCGTCAAATGATGCGTAACAGATTGAATATAATCTAATGTATTATGTGGTAATTGTCTTATTTGATTTTCTTTGATCAGGTCTAAATGTGATAATTCGATGAGAAATTACCATTGACATGATCGGATGGATGGCAAAGATGAAAATGGCGCCCTTCCCCTTCTGTGTGTTTGAGCATTTAAAACTAAACTGTTTATAGTTTGGATTTACTTCTGTTTCAACTGAAGGACTTTGTATTCATATATTGTGATTGTATTTGTGATTTTTTTTTTCTTTTTTTTTGAACAAACGATATTATTTATCTATATAAGGGAAGGGGGTGGGCTTAGAGTTAGTTTGGTATTGTTGTGTTTTTAAAAAAAAAAAACTGCTTATGTTGTGCTGTGAGAATAAACAGCTGTAAAATAAAGTTGTTAAGTGTTTGGTAAACATTTTTTTGTAAAAGTGCTTTTAATAAAAATAAAAATAAAAACTTTGTCTGACTATTTGGTAAATTTTTATATAAATTGCTTTGAATATGTTAAATAACTAAAGACGATATAGTATTTAATGTAATATAATAATTGTCAATGACAATAATGTAGGGGCAAATATTGTAATTTTGTAAAACATGTGGGGGTATACTTGCTATTTGAAAAGTTCATTAAATGAGCATTAATTACTATGTTTTCTTTAAAAAAGCTCTTTTTTTAGAAGCATAGTAAACCGCCTGCTTCTGCTTTTCTATACTTTTCTACATTCATTGACATCAGTTTTTTGAAAAAGCACTTTTTTTTGTTTTACCAAACACATTTAATATTCTAGATTTTTTTAATAAGCTGATTTTTTAATAATCATTCCACCTTGCAGCTTTTCTCGAACAATGTGACAATCAATTTCAATATGTTTCGTTCACTCATGAAAAACGGGATTGGCTGCAATATATAGAGCGGCGTGATTGTCACAAAATAATGGTGTGGGACCTTTTTGCGGAACCTTTAAATCTTGCAATATATAGCGCAACCATGTTAACTCTAAAAATGTGTTGGCCATAGCTCGATATTCGGCTTCTGCAGATGATTGAGAAACATTATCTTGTTTCTTGGATTTTCATGAGATGAGGGAATTTCCAAGGACACAATACCCAGTAACTGACCTTTTTGTGGCACGACAACCGCCCCAATCGGAATCACAAAAGGCCTTTAATTCAAGATTGTTGGAAACAGGAAATAACAAACCTTGACCAGGAGTACCTTTAATGTACTTGAGAATTCGTAAAGTTGCATCCCAATGAGGTTTGCGAGGCTCGTGCATGAATTGACTTAATGTGCGGATTGAAAATAGTATGTCAGGCCTGATGACAGTAAGATAAATCAAACGTCCGACTAGTCTTCTATACTTGGTGGGATCATCTAACAATGCTCCGTCGATGGGAGCGAGTTTCAAATTTTGTTCCATTGGAAATTTGTCTGGGTGTGCCCCTGTAAGACCAGAATCCTACAAAACATCTAGTGCATATTTCCTTTGAGACATGAAAATGCCTTAGAACGAGAAAAATCAATGCCCAAAAAATATTTTAAATCACCAAGATCTTTGATGCTAAAGCGTTTAAGAAGGAATATTTTGAGTCATTCCATCTCTTTAAGATAATTTCCTGTAAGAAGTATGTCATTTACATAGATAAGGATTGCAGTGAATGAGGTACCTTGGGCCTTTGTAAAAAGAGAACAATCAGCTTTTGACCGTTGATAACCAGCTTTCTAAATGGTGACTGAAAATGTGTAAAACCAATTTCTGGAGGCTTGTTTAAGTCCATATAGAGATTTGTTAAGCCGACATACAATGTTCTCCCCATGTCGGCGAAGACTAGGAAAAGGTTCCATGAAAACAACCTCATGTAAATCACCATGAAGAAACGCGTTCTGAACATCCAATTGATGAATGAACCAATGACGGGCACTAGCAACAACCAGGAGGCAACGAAGAGTGGTGAGTTTAGTAGTAGGAGAAAAAGTTTATTGATAATCGATACCCTCAATTTGAGTGTAGCCTTTAGCAACGAGACAAGCCTTGTACCTCTCAATTGTGCCATCAAAGTGGTACTTAATTTTATAGATCCATTTGCAACCAATGGGTTTGTGACCAGCAAGTAAGGGAACCATAGTCCATGTATTGTTTTGCTGCAAAGCCGTTAATTCTGCATGCATGGCAATGCGCCATTTGGGATCAAGGATAGCTTGAGCATAGGAGGTGGGTTCAACAGGACCTGTAATGTTAGCTAGAAAGGCACAATGGGTAGAAGAAATGCGTGAATAGGAAAGCAAGTCAGAAAGGGGATACCAAGTACCTGAGGAAGGACGAGGTGCCGAAGGAGACTGACTGATTTAGTTTGTCACGTGGTAGTCTTTATGCCATATTGGTGGGTGCCTTGGACGAAGTGAATGACACGGGAGTGGTGGGGGAGAAAGTTGGGTTGACGTAGGGTCGGATGGATGAGAGATGTCATGTGAGAAGGAGAAATGATGGGAATAGGAGTAGGGTGAAATGGTGGAGACCGTGAGCTAGTAGGTTGAGGTGGGGATGTTACGGCATTAGGGTCAAGTTGGCTATTTGATGGGATGTCACTACTGATGGATGGCAGTGGAAGTGATAAGGGGTCACTATAAGGGTCGGTCAGAGGTGGTTGGGTTGGTGAAAGGAAGGGAAAAATGGTTTCGTTAAATTTAACATCTCGACTAACAAAAAAATTGTTTGTTTCTAGATCATATAGTTTGTAACCTTTTTGACCAGTGGGATACCTAACAAATACACAACGTCTAGCACGAGGGTCGAATTTGTGTGTAGGGTGAACAATAGTAGGAAAACAAAAACTGCCAAAAACTTTTAAGTGATCAAATGATGGTGGACATTTGTAAAATAACTCAAAATGGGACTTGTTAGACAACTACCCATTTTTCCCTTTGGTGTGGCCAGCCTTGATGGTTTTTGTGGTTATGATTTTGGCTTAATTAGCCAATTTATTGGCTAATTAAGTATGAAAGAAGTAAATGGGAGGTTATAAAATTATTTATTTGTATAAATGGGGTACTAAAATGGGGAAAAGTAAGAAAGACTAAGAAGAATGTAAGGTGGCCGGCCACTACCTATTTTTAGGGTGAATGAGATATATTTTGTGATTAATTGGGTAATTTAATTGATGTTTAATGGATTAATTGGGTAATTAATCCATTAATTAACCAATTAACATTATTTTGTAGGTTACCTTGCAAAAGGGGATTTGATGAGATGGACTTTGAATTGGTTACCTCTTTTGGAGCATTTTTTATTTTGTTGAAAGATGATTCTCCTCTACTCGCGCATAGGAATCCCAATGTGCCTCAAGGGTATTCTTGTCCTTTTTTATCTAAAGATCCACGTGTCGCCTTGTGATTATTTTTGGCTCCACATCAATCTATGGCCATACATAAGATCATGTCGTGGAATTTCACTTCCACTTCACTTGTTGATCATCACGAGGCCGATACTGCACCACCACCGCTGCCGGTTCCTGCATCAACCCCTATGGCTAGTTCAACCTATCCTCCCAAGACAGTAAATAAGCCTACAAGACTAGTATTTGGGATGGGAATTGGAAGATGTGCTGTCGTGGTTACCGGGTTGGGTTTGGTTTGGTTCATTTTGTGGAAGATGAGGGAAACAGGAGAAAGTAGTGATGAAGATACCATGGTTCATGAATTGGTTGACGAAGAATTTGAAAATGGGGCTTGTCCCAGGAAGTTTTCATATAGGGAATTGGCTTGGGCAACGAATAATTTTGGGCAGGAAGAAAAGCTTGAAGAGGGAGGATTTGGTGGGGTTTATAAAGGCATAATACCAGACTTGAAGTCACCTGTTGCTGTTAAGAGGATATCGAGGGGTTCTAAACAAGGGCCGAAGGAGTATGCCTCGGAAGTGAAGACAATTAGTCGACTTAGGCATTGCAATCTTGTTCAATTGATTAGTTGGTGCCACGAAAGGAAATTTCTACTTGTGTACAAGTTCATGCCCAATGGCAGCTTAGACTCTCATTTGTTCAAAGAGCAAAGCTTGTTAACTTGGGAGGCAAGATACAAAATTGCTCAAGGCTTGGCCTCTGGGTTGTTCTACCTACACCAAGAATGGGAGCAATGTGTGTTGCATAGGGATATCAAGTCCAGCAATGTTATGTTGGATGCGAATTTCAGCGCAAAACTTGAGGATTTTGGGTTAGCAAGGCTTGTGGACCACGGACAAGACCCACAAACGACAGCATTGGCTTGAACCCTGGGCTACATGGCTCCCGAATATGTTTTCACGGGAAAGGCTAGCAAGGAATTTGATGTCTACAGCTTTGGAATTGTTGCTTTGGAGATTTGTTGCGGAGAAAACCTAACGATCCAAAGTTCGGAAGTAGTGAAGTCAATATGGTAGAGTGGGTTTGGGAGCTTTATGGAGAAAAGAAAGTCATTGAACCAGCTGACCTGAAATTGTGTGGAGATTTTGATGAGAAACAAATGGAGTGCCTGATGATTGTTGGCTTGTGGTGTGCTCATCCGGACAACAATATGAGGCCTTCAATACAACAAGCCATTCAAGTGCTCAACTTTGAGGTTCCATTGCCGAATCTCCCATCAAAGATGCCGGTGGCCACGTATTTTGTTCCTTTGAGATCGCTCTCAAAGTTATCTGGTGGTGCTTCTAGTTCTCAAGGAGGGCATACGGAATGTTCAGGCTATGCCTACAACACCAATTCCTCAGAGTTTACAGGATCTTCTTCTGCAACAAATTATCATCCATCAGTCTCACTTGGGTAAGAAATAACTCTAATTTACGGATAACCTGGATTCTAGTTTTTTTTGGGGGAAATTTTGTAATTTCACCTTTGTCTTGTTTTTGGAATCGTCAAATCATGCATAAACAGATTGAATATAATCTAATGTATTATGTGGTAATCGTCTTATTTGATTTTCTTTGATCATGTCTAAATGTGATAATTAGATGAGAAATTACCATTGACATGATCGGATGGATGGCAAAGATGAAGATGGCGCCCTTCCCCTTCTCTGTGTTTGAGCATTTAAAACTAAACTGTTTATAGTTTGAATTTATTTCTGTTTCGACTGAAAGACTTTGTATTCATATATATATATATATATATATATATATATATATATATATATATATATATTGGCAAATGACTTTGTATTCATATATTGTGATTGTATTTTGGCTTAGGGTTAGTTTGGTATTATTGTGTTTTAAAAATAAAAAAAAACTGTTTCTGTTACGTTGTGAGAATAAACAACTTAAAATAAAGTTGTTAAGTGTTTGGTAAACATTTTTTTTATAAAAGTGCTTTTAATAAAAAAAAAAGTAGTGTGTGAGTGTTAGGTAAATTTTTATATTAATTGCTTTGAATATGTTAAATTACTAAAAAAGATATAGTATTTAATGTGATATAATACTTGTCAATGACAATAATGTAAGTGCAAATATTGTAATTTTGTAAATCATGTGGTGTTATACTTGTCATTTGAAAAGTTCTTCAAATGAGCATTAATTACTATGTTTTGTTTAAAAATTTTTTTTTTTAGAAGCATAGTAAACTCTTTGCTTCTGCTTTTCTATACTTTTCTACTTTTATTAGCAGCAGTTTTTTTTTTTAAAATCACTCTTTTTTTTTTGTTTTACCAAACACATTTAATGTTCTAGATTTTTAATAAACTGCTTTTTTTTAAAGCATCACAATCCCAAATCAAACCTTAGCCTACAATGGACTAACAATAATGTGGTTCAAATTCTCTTTTGGTAAGAAACCTAAGACTTCTAGAGCGGTTAAATCAAGCTTTGTAGTGAGATAAAGCTTCACGTCTTGAACCCACTTCAGATAGTTTCTTTCAAAGACTTCTAGAGCGGTTAAATCAAGCTTGTTCAAGTTCGACATGTCCCTATAACAAGAGGTACAAAAAAAACGTGATTAGTCATATGGTAAGCTATAGACATATATCGTAGAACATACAGGTTTTATAGACATGTATTGGTTTAATTTATGCATGAAAACTACAGGTTTCATGTAGTATGTTTTGAATGAAAACTTCAGGTTTCAAAAACACTAATTTTGAAACTACTGGTTCAAATTAGTTTTTATGAACGATTAGTTCATAAGAAGAGGTTCCTGCAAGAAACACATAATGCAATATGTTGATTTAAGTGTAATAGATTTGAGTTTCTTCGGAAACTCAATTGTGAGAGCTTCGTTACTACAAAAGTATGTCAACAGTTCAAAGTATAAAAATAAATTATTGTTGTTAATGTCCAAAAGTGATATTCAGGTTAATAATTTTGGATTAATTATCAGATTAATGGACTGCGAGTCACTTGTAATTAATTCAATAAATCGGACCATACAAGATCGATTGTAGAAGCAAAACTAATAATAACATTCGGGTTAGAATTATTTAAAATGATAAATAATAGCATTGGATCAAAAAAAATATATCCCAAAAATGATTTGGGCTCGGGTTGGCTGCAAAAGGTAGCCCACGAGGTGGCTGCAGGCCACGGGCCGTAAGCAAGGGAGCCCAGCAGCAGCGCTACTAGCTTTGGGCCAAATGGGGGGGGGGCATGAGTTAGGCCCATAGATCGTTGGCCTTGGGTTCACATAGGGAGCCCAGTCGAGGCTGGGTCAGGGCAGGCTTCAACCCAGTAGACAAAGATGCGGGAAGCGGGCCGGGGCGTGTGACACAGCCCAATGGGCTACAAACTACTTCAAGCAGGTTTTAAACCATGGGACAACAGGCCAAGAAGGCTGCAGGCTTTCTTGGTTGAGCTTAAAGGACTTCAAGCCTGCAGTAAGCCCAAAGGCACTGCCGTGTGGTACACTCGATTGGGCTTCAAGCCAGTGTTGGTCCGACGATGCCACGATGGATGATGCAGTGGTGGTGCCGCACATTGCCCAATGTTTATTTTATTTTATTTTATTTATATCCCTAGGGTTTGAAAAATCCTAAATTGCTTATAATTTATTTATATGTTTTGACTCACAAATTCCACATAGCAAATATAAATGCGTAATGCATGAAACAAATATATATATATATATATATATATATATATTTTTTTTTTTTTTGTAAGGAAAATATAAACATAGGGAGTTCATGCATCATGATGAATGTTTTCATGCTTCGTGGACATCTCAAATATCTTATTATTTTAAGCGTACTTGATTAACAGAAAAAAAATATAAGCCTTTGAATTTTGTAAAAGATAGTCTCCTCCTACGATCCGTCAATTCCTTAGTTTCTGGCAAGAGCGTGCAACGTGTTGTAGGCCTATTTGATTGAACTAATTTAAGGGATTAGAGAGAGGGGGGCCGGCGGTATAGAGAGGGAGAAGAGAGAGTGATGTAATTGTGAGGTGTGTTTGTATCACCCCATTGTGCCTTTATTTATAGTATTAGGATAGGTAAAAGTCTTTCCCTTTAGGATTACAACTCTTAATCAGTAATCAACTCTTAATAGGAATATAAGATACATTCCTAAATCTTCTAGGATTTACACAATCATATTCCTATTGTAAATATGATTGCAACAACTTAAAAATACTTACAAGATAATCGTATTATAAGCGGCTTAACTAAGGTCGTTCACCACAGGGATTACTAAAATAATTTATGTAAAATCAAATATTAATTATTTACTTAAAACAAAGTTTTAAAAAATGTTGATTTTGTGACTTAAAATATATAAAAACGAATTTAAAATAAAAAAAATTAAATAAATCAACTAGAAAACAATTTAAAGAAAATCAATTTAAAGAGACGATAGAATTTCGTTGTCACCTTAATAATCTTACGTAATTCTTCCAATTACTTATGAATTACCTATGCATATTTCGAAGCTTAGGTTTTCCTAATATTGTCCTACTTGGAACCTCTAACATTGAACGTATACCTAATATGCAACTCGTCCGGACATGGTGTTTGTAACACCCCGCCCCGAAATATTTATTTTCGGAAGTAATTGCAATGATAGGCCTAAACTAAATTCTTCTTTAGTTAACTACCATTAATTGTGATTCCTTAATGAAATGCCTTAATTGCACCCATGATTTAATACCAAAAATTTTCTTACCAAAAAATACGATTATATTATCAATTTATCACCATTTTCTTTTATTAGATCAATTTCCATTCTAAAGATTAATTCTCGAGTATTTAAGGCTGCATCTAACCCTGTAAGGCCATCTCCAACCGATCGCTGGCTAGAGGGCTCGTTTTAGCCCTCTGGCCTTCCGAGATCCTTCAAGATATTAATATTTTAATGAACAGTACATGACCATATTTGTCTCCGTCTCCAACCGAGGGCCAGATGGCTCATTTTAGCCCTGTCACAAAAAACCGCCTCTAACCAAAGGTCAAAGGGCCAAACATAATTTATTATTTAAAAACTACAACTTAAATTCAAATCCAACAGCTAATGTTATTTAATGTTGTTTCATATTGTTTAATGTTGTTTAATGTTACTTAATTTAATTTAATGTTGTATAATGACTTAGGAAGTTATAGGAAAAAAAATAGAATTTAAAAAAAATATGAAACAAATTTTGTGAAATGGAAGTTATAGGAAAAAAATGGAATTTAAAAAAGATATGAAACACATTTTGTGAAATAGAAGTTATAGGAAAAAAATGGAATTTAAAAAAAATATGAAACAAATTTTGTAAAATAGAAGTTATACGAAAAAAAATATGAACCAAAATTTGTAAAATATAAGTTATAGAAAAAAAGTTATAGGAAGTTATAGAAAAAAAAAAGGTTTAAATTTATAAAAAAAAAAAAAATGAATACAACGGCTAGTGACTGGCTAGCCGTTGGAATTCAAATTAGTGTCGGTTTTAACTGACACTGTTCAAACTGCTATTATATTAACATTGCTATTAGTGTCGATTATAACCGACACTAATAATATAGTATATATTATTTCTGTCGGCTATAACCGACAGAAATAACAAAACATTAAAAAAAAATGGCCAACCCTCCAACCCTCTCCGATTCCGTGGGACCCTCCAGATTCCAGAGCGCTCTGGCCTAGCCCTCAGTTGGAGACGGGTTTTGGGCTATTTTCGGCCCTCTGACCCTCTAGACCTTTCGGTTGGAGATGGCCTTAGACTACTTACGTACCCTTGAATGGGATTAAGTCTTTCGTAGTTCACCATTCAGTCCTTTATCCATTTCCAAATAATATTCTGGTAACGGAAATATCCAACATTTGCTTCCACAACCAAATCACACCAAATGGGTGTTATACCGCCCCAAAAACAAAATAAAATCACGGTTAATTAATAGTCTATTAACCACCATAAATCAAGTTCGAACATACATACATACATACATACATACATAACCATATTTATATGGAAACCACATTTATGTAACCATATCACATAAATCCGAGTCACTCTCTAATGAATGGGCTGTAAACTGACATTCCCAAAATATACAACTTTGTTTTGTACATGCCACCGACTGACTTAAGTATTGAAATACAACACTGGCAAATCCTCCTCAATGCAAATGTGTTCTATGGTAAATTTTCATCCACACTTGCTTTTTGATTAATAAATCTTACCAGTTACTAGTTTACTACCAGGAATAACAAGTAACGTCTAACTACAGTCAGTTGATAATATATATATTCAAGGGCTTCAGAAAACCCTTAATTCAATTTCTATAAACACGTAATTACCCGTGATTCTGACAACAAAACTGAAATTAAGCGGCTACTCATTACAATTTAAAGTACAAATACAAGGAAAGTCATGTTCTTGTAGTGGCCATACCTGCAGCAGTTCACGGAGTCGGAACCGGAGCCCAATTCAGAAGATGAGCAGCTAACCGCTGCCAACCGCCCAAGTCAGCGGTGATTACTCACCGACACGCCATCGTAAGCGCGCTTTAAGCAACTCACAGACGGACATGAAAACGAACAGGAGGAGGTGGAGGAGGATACAGAGACAAGGGATGGGGGCGAAATTGCCGCCATCAGTAAGTCCTCCCCTCTTTCTCCATTCCATCCCCCCCCCCCTTTTTTTCTTTTTTTCTTCCCGTGGCCTATTTCCACCAAAACAGAATCTGGAGCCATCCAGAGTCACCACAAAATGACTATTTTATCCCTACTTTCGTTTGTTTTTATTTCATTTGTTATAAATTTGTTTAACGAACGATTTTCGCTTACACGCTTATAGGATCGCACTCTATCCAATTATGCCAAGAAATACGATAAAATATATGAGGATAAAATACGTCCTCGTATAATTACGTTATACAAACTAGGGGCATTTTTGTCTTTTCCCACTTATCGGTAAATTTAACAACGTACACTAACATAATTCCTGGAACTAAACTTTAAAATTCCCCAATTCTATTTCCATAACCATAAATCGATTTATTTTCAATTTCTTCCACATATTCATAATTATGAATATCTAATTCATATATTTAAATTTTCAGGATATTACAGTGTTTGTCCTAAGTGAAGTTACAATTATTAACCACAAGAAGCCATTGCCAATTTCAGGAAATAATCCAACCAAAATTATATCAAATTACTTTTCTAAATATCATAATGATCGCAATAGTTTAAACACAATAATTAATAATTCAAAATATACATACATAATATCATAAGTAAATAAAAAAATAAAAAAATAAAAGCTACATTTACTAAGCCTTGTGGCTTCAGCCTAACAAAATGAAATTAATTACAAATAATTATAAAATAAAAATACTATTAATTAAAAACATGAGTGAAAAACACTGTAAAGTAAAACTTGCGCAAATGAAATGAGAGTGAGTAGGGAGGGATAGAGACCCTAACAAACAGTGGACGGCCCAGATCTTTTTTAAACAATCCAATGGTGGCAATTGATTCTGACTATAATTAAAATATTGTTGTAAATTGGAGTGGCTACATGCCTATGCCTCCCCTGCTGGCCCATCATCATCATTGCCTCACCAGTGCCGAATGCTTTGGGATCGAGTTGGTATTACATTTCAAAATTTTCAAAAACGTCAGTTTAGAACGTTTTTAATTTGCGATCGCAATTTTTTTTTGTTTATTTCAAAATTTTCGAGATTTTTTTCCAATTCTAGAAGGAATGGTGCGAATTTCGCATAATAAAAATAGATAACTCCATATCAGACTTTTCTCCCTTTTTTAATACAACTTGTTTGTAAAGTCTGAGTCAACGAACTTTTGTCAAGTCTTTCTCCAAAATTATTGGTTGCCCAATAATTCCACAACCAACTCTGTATCTATTTCAGATGACAAACATTTGTTCAAGCTTATTACAAATCCTGAGTCTCAATCTCTCTCCCAAAATGCTTGCCACCATGATCAGTGCATCAACACTCCGATCGCAAAAGCTTCACTGCCTACTTGTTTTCTTCTTTCTCTTAACCCCTTCTGTAACTCCATTAAACTTCAACTTCCCCAGCTTCAGTAGCGCTGACTCCCCTAATATATCTATAGAAGGCGATGCTTATTTGGGAAGCCCTTTCCTCCGCCTCACACGAGACGCCACAGGCGAGGCAAAGGACTACAGCGTAGGCAGAGCCACCTACCGCCAACCGTTCCTCCTTCAGGAAAACGCTACCGGCAAACTCGCCGATTTCACCACGAGTTTCGACTTCGAAATTAAGTCCGTTAACTCCAACAGCGAATCCGTCCCCGGTGACGGTCTCGCCTTCTTCATAGCTCCAAAGGGCTCCGTCCTCATCTCCACACTAGGCCAAGGTGGCAGTCTCGGCCTGCCCTTCAACTCCACACCTTCAGATGACTTCGTCGTGAGGAATCAGTATGCTTTTGTGGCTGTGGAGTTTGATATATTCTACTATAATGTGCTGACAACCATCGACGACCCCCAGTACGAGCACGTGGGGATTGATGTCAACTCTCTCAACTCTTCCAAATGGGAGCCTTGGGTTGGAGGTATTACGGAAGGAATTCGAAATAGTGCTACCATTACTTATAATTCCTCCTCGAAAAATCTTAGTGTTGCCTTCACTACTTTAGTAACGAGTGATCTCAACGATTCCCAAGTTGTCCAAAAGATGACATATTTTGATTACACTGTTGATCTGACGCGGTACTTGCCCGATTGGGTCGTTGTTGGGTTTTCCGCTTCAACAGGTCAATCTATTGCCATACATAAGATCATGTCCTGGAATTTCACTTCCACTTCACTTGTTGATCACCCAGTTCCTGCATCAAATAAGCCTATAGGACTAGTAATTGGGTTGGGAATTGGAGGATGTGCTGTCGTGGTTACTGGGTTGGGTTTGGTTTGGTTCTTTTTGTGGAAGAGGAGGGAAACAGGAGAAAGTGGTGATGAAGATACCATGCTTCATGAATTGGTTGACGAAGAATTTGAAAGAGGGGCTTGTCCCAGGAAGTTTTCATATAGGGAATTGGCTCGGGCGACGAATAATTTTGGGCAGGAAGAAAAGCTTGGAGAGGGAGGATTTGGTGGGGTTTATAAAGGCATAATACCAGACTTGGAGTCACCTGTTGCTGTTAAGAGGATATCGAGGGGTTCTAAACAAGGATCGAAGGAGTATGCCTCGGAAGTGAAGACAATTAGTCGACTTAGGCATCGCAATCTTGTTCAACTGATTGGTTGGTGCCACGAAAGGAAATTTCTACTTGTGTACGAGTTCATGCCCAAAGGCAGCTTAGACTCTCATTTGTTCAAAGAGCAAAGCTTGTTAACTTGGGAGGCAAGATACAAAATTGCTCAAGGCTTGGCCTCTGGGTTGCTGTACCTACACCAAGAATGGGACCAATGTGTGCTGCATAGGGATATCAAGTCCAGCAATGTTATGTTGGATGCGAATTTCAACGCAAAACTTGGGGATTTTGGGTTAGCAAGGCTTGTGGACCACGGACAAGAGCCACCAACGACAGCAGTAGCTGGAACCATGGGGTACATGGCTCCCGAATATGTTATCACGGGAAAGGCTAGCAAGGAATCTGATGTCTACAGCTTTGGAATTGTTGCTTTGGAGATTTGTTGCGGGAGAAAACCTATCGACCCAAAGTTCGGAAGTAGTAAAGTCAATATGGTTGAGTGGGTTTGGGAGCTTTATGGAGAAGAGAAAGTCATTGAAGCAGCTGACCCGAAATTGTGTGGAGATTTTGATGAGAAACAAATGGAGTGCCTGATGATTGTTGGCTTGTGGTGTGCTCATCCGGACAACAATATGAGGCCTTCAATACAACAAGCCATTCAAGTGCTCAACTTTGAGGTTCCATTGCCGAATCTCCCATCAAAGATGCCGGTGGCCACGTATTTTGCTCCTTCGAGATCGCTCTCAAAGTTGTCTGGTGATGCTTCTAGTTCTCAAGGAGGGCAAACTGAAATTTCATGCTATGCCTACAACACCAATTCCACAGAGTTGACAGGATATTCTTCTGCAACAAATTCTCATCCATCAACCTCACTTGGGTAAGAAATAACTCTAATTTACTGACTTATAACCTGGATTCTAGTTTTGTTTTTTTTTTTTTGGGGGGGGGGGGGGGGGGAAATTTTGTAATTTCACTTTTGTCTTGTTTTTTAAATCGTCAAATGATGCGTAAACAGATTGAATATAATCTAATGTATTATGTGGTAATTGTCTTATTTGATTTTCTTTGATCAGGTCTAAATGTGATAATTCGATGAGAAATTACCATTGACATGATCGGATGGATGGCAAAGATGAAGATGGCGCCCTTCCCCTTCTCTGTGTTTGAGCATTTAAAACCAAACAGTTTACAGTTTGGATTTAATTCTGTTTCAACTGAAAGACTTTGTATTCATATATTGTGATTGTTTTTGTGATTAAGAATGGGTGATACAATTTTTTTTTATACGTACATAAGGGGAAGGGGTGGGCTTAGGGCTAGTTTGGTATTATAATGCTTTTAAAAAAAATCTGCTTCTGTTGTGTTGTAAGAATAAAGTTGTTAAGTGTTTGGTAAACATTTTTTTGTAAAAGTGTTTTTAATATTAAAAAAAAAAAGGCAATGTCTGGGTGTTTGGTAAACTTTTATATAAATTGCTTTGAATATGTTAAATGATTAAAAATGATATAATATTTAATATGATATAATAATTGTCACTTGTTGCAGTCCTATTAGATTAGGAATGCGATTGTGTAAATCCTAATAAAATTGGACCTTTCAATCAAAATGGTCTTTAAAATAGAAATTGGTCCATTTGCACACTATTTTTTTTTTTTTTTAGGAGAATTTATTGATAAATAAGAAAAATACAATGTGTCAAGGGGGACATGAGGTCAAACTCAAACCATTAAAGAATTCATAACAACAATTCAAAACATCTTTTAGCAAAACCTATAACAAGGAAGCTTAAAAAGGTTCATGTCTAAAGAGGGGAGAGATTTATGTGAAAAAAGTTAATATTTCTTTTTACCGAGGTTGACCCTGTTAAGTTAAACAATTCTTTTCGTGTTGAGTATTTTTCACTTGTCAACTTAACGGGTAGTGTTTAGGTGTTTTGTTAGAAACTGGTTTTTATTTAACATTACCTGAACCCAAAAAGACCAACTCGTTCCCAATTTTAGTGGTTAGTCATAAAATACTAGCAATTCCGAGTTGGTTTGGTTGGAAGAGTAATGTCCTTAAAAACCAACCCGTTACCAAGTTTAGTGTTTTTCTTTTAAGAATAAAATTTGTACATGATATATATTTTCTGGACAGTCCCATTCTCCTCGACCCTATGGTCTATCCTTCACGTATGTGCATTCTTTGAAGGCTTTTTATTTAAAATGGTCTCTGAGATTTGCATCATCTATAAGTTTGGTCCCTGAGATTTAAAATCAATAGAAGTAGTCCCTGAGATTGTCCACCATCCATAATTTTGGTCTTTCTGCTAAAGCTTTTGGCCGGAAGTTTGGGTAATTTTCAAAGCTTCGTAACTCAATCGTTTCTTAACCAAATTCGATCCATAATATATCAAAATGAAGATAGGAGAGTGCAGAATAAGATTATATCTATTTGGAAGCCCAATGATTGCCGGACATGGTCAGAAAATAGCCTCAAAGTTGAATGGTCCGAGGGAAAACTGGAAAACTTGCCGGAAACTCGCCGAAAACTGGGTAAACTTTAAACATTCATAACTTCTTCAATACTCAACGAAATGAAGTGATTCAAAAACAAAACTCATACTTCTCAACGATAAAAAGAGAATGGTACCTTTTTTTAATGGCTAACTCGTTGTGGTTTGGCCTGAAAACGGCTCGAAAGTGGCTGTTGAAAAACGAGTCAGCAATGTTCGAGCCGTTTTCCGGCCAAACCACGAAGATTTAGCATTGAAAAAGGCTACTATTCTCTTCTTCTCGTCGAGAAGTATGATTTTTGTTTTTGAATCACTTAATTTCGTTGAGTATTGAAGAAGTTATGAACGTTTAAAGTTTACCCAGTTTCCGGCGAGTTTTCCAGTTTTCCCTTGGACCAGTCAATTTTGAGGCTATTGTCCGACAATATCCGGCAATTATTGGGCTTCCAAATAGATATAATTTTATTCTATACTTTCCTATCTTCATTTAGATATATTACAGGTCAAATTTGGTTAAGAAACGATTGAGTTACGAAGCTTTGAAAATTGCCCAAACTTCCGGCCAAAAGCTTCAGCGGAAGGACCAAAATCATGGATGGTGGACAATCTCAGGGACTACTTCTATTGATTTTAAATCTCAGGGACCAAACTTATGGATGATGCAAATCTCAAGGATCATTTTGAATAAAAAGCCTTCTTTGAATTCACAATACTAAGTGTGATAAGTGGTAATGCGTGGGCTTGGAGTTGTAATGTACCATATTCAAGTGTTTTGTGCTTAGAATAGTGGCAGTGTTCTTCTTGGTGCTGTGTTATGCTAATTCGGGAATCCAAGCTACCACTCTAAAAACGCAATTTACTAGAGTTGAATGATGTGTAAGTGTGTTCGCACCCAATGCAGTGATGCACTGAAGACATATGTGGACCGATTTTACAAACAAAGGAAAGTGTTATGCAACATCATACAGTCACAGGTCCGCGGTCCTTCCCTCATGTCCTTAATTTACTCCCCCATTTCTGTTTTTAACTTTCCATCACAACTTGGTCTCTCCCTTCTCCTTGCTGCTATCTCTATTACATGGTTATTGGGTTTTCCGCTTTAACGGGACTCTGTTGCTCTGTTTAAGACTTTCTCATGGAATTTTACTTCGACCATATTAGTTGATCCCCATGAGATCGACGTTTCAACGGACAACACAACATCAATGGTTCTAGTTCCATTGCCAAGCCTAATTGCTAGTACTTCTATGCCAAAGTCAGGAAATGATCAAAGGATAGGCTAGTAATTGGCTTAAGGATTGGTGGATGTGCTGTCTTGCTTGTTGGGTTGGGTTTGGTTTGGTTTGAAAGAAACCAAGAATATGCAGTTTCTAAATATCCCTCTTATATTTTTCAATGTAATAATATTACAATGGTGTGGCAGTATATATATAGACAATATACTGCTCTTACAATTACAATTATACCCTTGTCTAATCTGTCTATTTACATAAGAAACCTAACAAACATTTAACAAACATCTAACTAATTTTACTTAACTCTTTACACCCCCTCAAGCTGAACTTGGACGCATCGAAAGGTCCAAGAGAAAGCTTGGATTGCAAATACAAAAATCAGGATTTAGACAGGGAGTTGGCATGAATATTAGCTAACTGGTCTTGAGAGCACACATACTAAACTTTGAGAAGATTGGCAAGTACCAGCTCTCAGATATAATGGTAATCAAGTTCAATATGCTTGGTGCGAGCATGGAAAACTGGATTTGAAGTAAGAGATATTGCAGACAGGTTGTCACACCAGAAAGAAGGAACTTGAGGAAGGTGAAGACCAAGATTGTCACGCCCCGATCCCAACATACGTCGAGAATCGACACGTGACAAAGAAAATAACGTCCGTTGAATACGGTATAAGTTACGGAATAAAATACTTTAACTGATAAACCAAAATAATATGAAGGTGGCTAAGTTCTCCACAAAATATTTACAAATATGTACATCCCAAAAAGAAGCATAATCTTTGCTTTACTAAGAACAAGATTGAGGTGCTCAAAAGAAAGTCCCAAAGATAAAGTACAAGATAGGATATAGGGGTAACCTAGCACTCCAAATCTCTAATAATTGTACCGCTACCCCACCTATGAACCTCTCGAAGCTACTCAGACTTGTTACCTGTAAGATCAGTGCCTACACCATTGAAATGGTGCACCGGGCAAACAACCCGGATAAGCCACGAAGCTTGTGTGAGCGATAAATAATACAAAGTATATGATACTAATAATAAAACCAACCATCATTCACAATTATAAACCTTGAATATAAATCATTTATAAGAAATCGCTACCAAACCTTGCAACCTTCGAAGGAGTCACACATACATCCAACGAGTTTTCTAAATCAACTCAGAGTTCTCAAAGCGACATTCACAGATATATTCAAAACTAGAGTTAGAGAGACGTCGTTCGGCCCAAGCCTACACAAGTAACCAAATAGGAAGTGGCCCTCTAAAGCGGATTAACCAAGCAAAGCCACCCCTAAGAAAGTAACCAAGTAGGTAGTGACCCCCCAATGCGGATTAACCAAGTAGAGTCACCCCTGAGAAAATAACCAAATAGGTAGTGACCCCCCATTGTGGATTAACCAAGCAGTCACTCCTATAACTATTGGAAGGTGATCACCCAATGCGGATTAACCAAGCATGATCACCTTTAAATGTGTATGGCCATACCTAGGATATAAGGATCACCAACGCGGATTAACCAAGCACGATCCACAATTAGTATGGTCCCCTAACGCGGATTAACCAAGAAGGACCATCCAGGACCATTGCTACATGGTGCAGACTTAGTGTCACCTAACCCCATGACACTAGGGTAATGGTCCTTTACAATCCATCATTTCTATCAAACCATCAAATATATATTCCAAAACACAATCCATCATTTTTATCAACCATCACATATATATATCCCAAAACACAATCCATCATTTTTATTAACCATCACATATATATCCCAAAACACAATCCATCATTTTTATCAACCATCACATATATATCCCAAAACACAATCCATCACAGTTCAAATATCCAAGTCACCTAATGTTTCATAAGTAGATCGACGGCACCTTAATAGTAACACTTATTTAGCATCAAAACTATTTTAAGAATCCATAGTGTAACCACAAAGTTTATTAGCACAAAAGATTTCAAAGCAATAACCATAACACATAGATTAGAATCACTCACCTGAGATCCACACTAACGCACTCAAACACGAGAGTCAAGGCATCACGTTCTATCACCGCCTAACAAGGTACAAACCACATTTAGATTTCCTTCGATAATTCACATACTTAAAACTCTCATATATCTCCCACAACAACATTTAATGAGGAATCGAACTGTCATTCTAAGGTAGGGTCCATGATCTTACGTCACTTATTCCGTAATATCCAATCACTAGATTTTCACTTGTAAGTCCCTAAGGTCCTTAAACAATATCTACCATAGTATACTAAAATTAGTGTTAATATACTGTAAGATCGTCAATTGTTAGCATAATCAAGTGGCGGACCTTATCAATAAAATACTCAACCAACAACATTTTCATAAATCGAATGTCACACACCGGAAAATTTGACTTTCTCCAAAAATTCTCAAATTTTACAGGAATAAAGATTTCAACAAGTAGAGTAAACTTTGTACCTGTGGCCGAGCCCAATTTGGCAAGGAAGGCCCTCAAATTGGCTCACACCCAACGAACCCTAAGGTGGGTGTTCTTCACTACGGTTTCCTTGGTGTTCCAACGCCCCAACCACCAATTGGGTCCTGTTCCTGGGTCCAAGGGAAGTTGATTAAGGGTGATGGTTAGTGGTGATACTATCTGGAACGAAAATTCGTTATCGAGAACCCCCCGGGTTCTCCTATGGAGTTCTACCCGAATTAGACCTTAAAAACCCTTGATTTTTGGTAGAGAAGGAAGGGAGAAGATATTTAAGCAAGTTACCTGTGAAGGAGATAGGAGAATCAACTGAGAATTGGAGGAACTTACCTGAAATGGCCGGTTTGAAAACGGTTTGGTGGTGCACACGGTTCACCAAATGGGGAAAAAGAAAAAGTGTCCCCTTTTTTTAGTTCCCCCCCCCCCCCAAAAAAACCATCTGATTGATCCTTTCTTTTTGTCTTTTTATTTTATTTTATATAATATTATTACTGTTTTATTTTATTAATTTTTTTTAAACTAACTTAACTTTTAATCCACATGTGGATATTAAACAATTCCCACAATCTATAGTTCACAACTTCAAACGTCAGCAACTATACCGTTATAATTCGGACTCGCAAACGGCTTTCGCCTATGCGTTCGTGGGTTCGAGATCTATTTAAAAACACTAGTTGTAACTTCGAAATATCAACGAAAGATAACGATTGATTAAGAAACTTCCAACTCGATAACTAATCAATTACTAAACTTAAAATTAACGGAATTAAAATTAACTAATAAAGATAACGTAATTGCGAAATACAAATTTAAAATTCGAGATACGTAATGAATGGTGAAATTCTGGGGGTGGGATTTCACAAAGATCCTTGAACACTTTACAAATCCATGTTATTTCAGTTGTTGTGTGGGCTAGCGATCGGTATTCTGCTTCAGTGGAGGAACGAGCAACCATTGGTTGCTTCTTAGCACTCCAGCTAATAAGATTGGATCCCAAAAATATACAATATCCACTAGTAGATTGTCTATCAAATAGACAGTCGGCCCAATCAGCATCAGAATAGGCTATGAGGTGAATATCACCTTTCTTGAACCACAAACCATGACTCATTATGTCTTTCAAAAATCTGAGAATGCGTTTGGCTGCTTGAATATGTGGTTCTCGTGGAGCATGCATAAATTGACAGACTTGATTTACAGCAAAAGATAAATCAGGGCGTGTCCAAGTTAAGTATTGCAATGCACCTACAATTGATCTGTACTCTTGTGGATCAGGTAACAATGGACCTGTGTGATCAAGTTTGATGGAGCCAAGAGATGTGAGACATGGTTTAGCACCGGCCATGTGTGTCTTTTGAAGCAAGTCAAGAATATACTTGCTTTGATGCAGGAAAAGACCTGCAGAGGATCTCTGAACCTCAAGACCCAAAAAATAATGCAAGAGGCCTAAGTCCTTCACAGGAAAAATAGTACTTTGTTTCTGAATGAAAGTTTGACAAGCGGCAGGATTTGGACATGTGACAAGAATGTCATCGACATACTCCAAGACAATAACAAGAACAGGTGCTTGAATCACAAACAAGGAAACATCAGATTGTGATTGATGGAATCCCAAGGACTTAAAGACTGCAAATAATTTGTCAAACTAGGCCCGAGGGGCTTGTTTCAATCCATACAAGGATTTTCGAAGCTTGCAGACATGATTAGGATAATTTGGGTCACTGAAACCAGGGGGTTGCTGCTTATAGACATCTTGAAGGTTTCCGTGCAGAAAAACATTACTGATATCCAATTGGTTGAGAAACCAATCATATTGGACTGCAAGAGATAGAAGAATTCGAATGGGTACTGGTTTTGCTACAGGACTGAACGTTTCCTTGTAATCCAAACCAGCTTGCTGATGAAAGCTTTTGGCCACAAGCCTAGCTTTGTATTGATCTATAGTTCCATTTGGATGTTTCTTAACTCGAAACACCCACTTACATCCAACAATATTCTGATGGGAGTTAAAAGGGACTAGAGACCAAGTGCCTGTGGACTGCAGGGCATTATACTCATCTTGCATAGTAGATCTCCAATGGATATGTTTCGAGGCCTGAAGATAAGTGGTGGGGATAACATCGACAGTGTCGGGTAAATGATGCTTTGTGGCTAAGTAGGCTTTTGGTTTAGAGATGCCAGCTTTAGATCGTGTGATCATAGGATGGATATTATTGACAGTAGGGGAGAGTGTAGGTAAGGGGACTGAAGAGGGTGCAGAAGAAGGATTCACTTGGGGATGCACTTGAGGATTCAGAGGGAGACACCATTAAGATTCAAGAAAAAGAAGTCGAGAATCTGAATCAGAGTAGAACAACAACTCAATCAATCACATCGGAGAAGAAGATCAAAGAGGAGCAGAAGATCGAAGAAGAAAATTGCAGGATCGAAGAAGCCGTGAGGCGATTTGGCGATGGTACCATGAAAGAAACCAAGAATACACAGTTTCTAAATATCCCTCTTATATTTTTCAATGTAATAATATTACAATGGTGTGGCAGTATATAGATAGACAATATACTGCTCTTACAATTACAATTATACCCTTGTCTAATCTGTCTATTTACATAAGAAACCTAACAAACATTGAACAAACATCTAACTAATTTTACTTAACTCTTTATGGTTCGTCTTCTGGAAAAAAAAAAGAAACAACTGGAAGTGATGAAGATCCTACAATTCATGACTTTATTGATGATCAAATCGAAACGGGCACTGGCCTGAGAAAGTTTTCATATGGCAAATTAGCTCGACCAACGAGTAATTTTTCTGAGGAAAAAAAGCTTGGAGAGGGAGGTTTTGGCGGGGTTTATGCAGGCATATGCAGTTCGGGCAGGGTACAGTGCGGGTCCAAAAATTCAAAATGTAAAACAGGCCGGGTCGGGGCGGGTAATAGATTTTGAGGAAACGGGCCCCTGGCCCAGACCATTTCCTAAGTCCCAACCTGTTTCTTTTAATTCCATCTTGAATAATGAACAGCTTGTAAAGTTATAATATTAATATAATATAAAATCACCAAGATAGATGCTTGGTGTATAAGAAGCCACATTTGCTATTTTTTGTTGGAAAGTGAGAGAGTTAATGTCCTTTCACATCTACAGTACACACACGCCACACTCAAAGACATAAGCAATAAAATCTCCCCCACCTCACTCCTACTGTCTCCCTCAATCTGCCCTGTGACCTGTCTTCTTCTGCAACAAGATAACATCTTTAACTTTTCATATAAATTCACATCTACCCTTTGAGAGAATTCAGAGATCATTCCATTTGTTTTTATACAGCCAAAAACCAATAACGTAAGGAGGAGGAAGGAGAGAGAGGGAGACCTAGAAATCCTAATCGCCATGAACGACTTCGAGGGTTTCCTGACCTCCGATTTCGACTTTAAGCCCTTCGGCAAATAGGCCCCAATCACCGAACCCAGACCATCCTACTCATTTGCCTCATCCCTCTCCCTGCCGCTGTTGTTTTCTTGGTTGTGGGCACCCCGCCTGATGACCCACTAGAAGTCTAGAAGGTGCTACTGAGTCGACAAGTGGGCCCCAGCACTCCACCTTGTTGAATTCGGGAATGCTCGATTGGAAGTAGATCCATACCAAAGCATCATACAGTTCTGGGTAACTGTTGAACAATTTGCCATCCCCAAGAATGAAGATGATGTGAATAGGAGAAAGAAAAAAAAGAAACTAGCAGTATGCCCAATAAATCGAAAAAAAAAAAAGTAATTGGACCCATAGACCCGCTTCGAACCGACCCGTTTCAAACGGGCCAGGTTAGGTTCGATTCCTAAACTCAAAATTCTTCTACCCGGCCTGACCTGTCCTATTACATTTTAAATGAATAGTATAGGGTCATATTTGCCTCCGTCTTCAACCGAGGACCATAGGGTTTGTTTTAGCCTTATCACAAAAAACCGTCTCCAACCGAGGGCCAGAGGGCCAAACATAATTTATTATTTAAATTTAAAAACGACAACAACTTAAATTTAAAAACTACAACTTATATTTAAAAATTACAACTTAAATTTAAAAATGACAAATTAAATTTAAAAACTACAAATTAATGGCGTAGGAATGGTGAATGAATGGTTTAGGTATTTATAGGAAAAAATTTGCATCCACAAATTGGTGCTTTCATTTAGAGTTGAAATCCATACTCGTAGAAGACTCTCGCACAAAAAGGTTTTTTCTCTATTTTCTAGTCCATTTGAATATTTTTCATACGTTCTTATTATTAGAATTTTTTACTTGCAAAGGTTCTTTGATAAAACATATAAGAAAAATATAATGGCTAGAAATTTAGAAAATACCACAAGTGAAAATTCTAATACTCAAGAAATGGGATTGCGGAGATCCACGAGGCAAAATACAGTCGTAAACAGAATGGCACCACCACCACGAGGTTCCACCATGGCCCAAGTCTTGCCATCCAAGTTTGCACGGGCCCAAGCCCAAGCCTCGCATTCGCATGCACCACGCACTAAGCAGCCTGCTCCCGTGATCCAGCCTGCTCCCGTAGCCCAGCCTGCTCCAGTGATCCAACATGCTCCCGTACCCAGCCTGCTCTAAACAAATAAACCATATAAAGAGGTCAAGGAGGACCAAAATCAGTCGATTGGAGAGAAAAAAAATACACTAAAAGAGTCACTTTTCCAACCAAAGGAAAAGCTAACCCCGCTGATATGCAAATTGTACACCAATAATAATTGCTGATAATTTTGCAAAGAAAGAGTTGCGATAGCCAATTCCTTGGCAGAAGCCACCAAGAAATTGACCATGTTAATCCTTGAAAACTCATCCACTAGTAGCAAGATCGAGATTTCCTTTGGACAAACCATCTATATTAAGTTTAATCCAAAGAAACCAAGGAGCAGACCAAAAGGAAGAATAGTTGGCGCCTTGCAAGGGATATGCTAGATCCCTAAAGAAGAAATGATACGAGTGTCAAAACCTTGAGAATAACCAGGAATAAACTTCCCACCATGAACGATCCCATAATTGATAGACATGCAAAGACGACGAAAATAGATTGGACGACCCTAAAAATAAACTTATTTCAAGCTTTCCAAATAGCCAAAATAGTAGAAAAACCCGCAAAAATCCAAATATTGTACAATTGTTAGGAAAAGTGCTTACGTATGTAGGCATCCCAAAAAGCAACCAGAGAATCTGAAAAAGACAACGAGGTACAAAATTGGCATGCTAACCACCTCCAAAGTTGTCTAGATATCCGATAACCGAAAAAAGATGAACAGTAAATTCCTCATAATTATGACATAAACAACAAATGGATGTATGTGACATTATTTCTATGACTAGTTGTCGTATTCGTTTGAAATATTGGCGTTTGTAATAGGATATAAAGTTTCAAAAGGATCTAGGCATTGGTCGGATGGCAACCAGGGGCTTAGGTTTTTTTTTTTAAATATTTTATTTTAAAATAAATTTGTTATATAAAGGAAAACTAATGAAAAAAACTTGAAAACTTTGAGTTTTAACGATAAGGACAAAATAAAGGGTAAAGTGAATAGTATCATGTTTGACTTTTTAGTGTAAAAATATGATTTTTCGTTAAAGTGAACAGTACCGCGGACTTTTCGTTAAAACTCCCATTATATAACCTATAAATAAATGTTTACTTAAGCTTAAAAATAATACACAAATGTACTGGGATACAGAAATTGTAAAATAGAACACCATGTAGATTGCATTAGGACATATGCATATGGTCTAATATAATTGGATAAGATGTTTGGTTTCTACCCATACATCTCAGGTTCGAAACTCCCTCATTCCTAAATTATTGTAATAGTTTCGAAAGCTTCCCCCTCTCCTTAATAATAATAATATTTTTTGTAAATGACATATTGAAAACATGGTGAACAAGTATTTAATGAGTGTTCATCCTAGTATTAAACAAGTCTCTTATGATTTATTGAAAAATAAAATGCAAAATAAGTTATTTATTTTCTGTTTAAGTGAGAGTCGCCACCTAGGCAGGTTTAGGCAGGCTAGGTTGGCGCCTAGATAGGTCTAGGCTCTTTCTTAATTTTCAAATGCCTGGAGATTAATCAGGTCAGTGACCAACCTGCTAGCGCCTAGGTAGGGTCTAGGCGGCGCTAAGCGATGATTTTTAGAACAGTGGGATATATATATATATATATATATCATACCAAAAGCAAAATTACAATTTATAAGAAGCTAATACGCTCAATTTCCTCATACTTCCAAATGTAGCTTGTATAGATGTTTCTAACATCATTCATATATCGGTCTAACCAAAAATGTTCTCTTGGGATCAATGGTGGAGCCACCCACAAGGCTTAGGTGGGTTGTAGTCTAGGGAGGTTTTTTGTAAATTCATGCTTTAATTGCATTTTTTTTTTTGGATTGGAAGACGATATCATTAACTTAGGAAAATTACAAAGTGTCTTGGATAAGGAGGTCCAGAATAACACTAGGAGGCTCCTCAACCCAAACTACCCTTATCTCAATGGACAATGCTACCTTGCCAAACAATGAGCAATACTATTATTATTCCTAGAAATAGAAATAAACTTAGAAGCAGTAAACAAATTTGCACTATGAAGGACATCCCCCGCTAACAAATCCATAGCCGACTCAATTTTAATACATGTTATTATTTAATGTATACTTAGTGCATGAAAGGCAATAAATAATACCTTTTATGCTAAAAATAAAATGAGTTTTCTCTCTATTCCCCATCCTTTTATCCTATTCTTAAAGAAAAAGACATTTTACCCTATGCAATCTAGTTATTGTACTACTTACACAAGAAAATCAACTTTTTGTAATTTACCCTTTATAATCAACCATTAAACCCCTAACTCCATCTGATCAAAAAAAAAAAAAAAAAAAAAAAACACTAACTCCATAATTTTCTTACTTTCCGGTGAGATTTTCCAATGAATGTCCTTGAATTTGTTGATTAATTATTTATATGGTCCTGGAATTTGTCGATTAGATTACGATTTTGAGAAAAGCTTATATTTCATTGTTGTTG